ATTTCTTTTTAAATAATTTTTTACATCCAAAAAAATTTGTGTGTTTTTCTCAAAAAAATCTGAAGTAGTTTGTTTTTAATGTCTATTGTAAGAAAATTGTGCATGATAGATAAAAAAAAGAGAGGTTCTATCACAAAATATTTTTTTAGATACATTTTGTTTTGGTTTTGTTAATTTTTGCTTTATCTCAATACACTCTGTAATCATGAAAACTTTATTTGAAAAAAATGTTTAATTTTTATTGATAAAAACTCAATTTTTTTCTAAATACTTATCCACGTCCAAACAAATTTATGCGTTTTAATATCAATTAAATGAAAACGGTGCATAATAGATAACAATTGGAGATTCCACCAAAAAATATTTTTGCAAGGCAAATTATATAAAAGACAGAGAGTTTTTTTTTTTGGATGAAGTTTTTGTTAATTTCCTGTACAACAACTGATACTAAAAATTGACATCCTCTCTCAATACAATTTGAGTTACACTTTGTATTAGAACATATACCATTTAAACACGAAGATAAATATTGACTTCAATAATAAATTTGGTAAAATATTTTATGACAATATATATCTCAGAAATCAAACATTGCCATCATGTTCTACTCTTTTTTAATAGTTCTTTTAAGAACTGTGATGCATTTATTTCCGAATAAATTCGGAATTTCGAGTTAACCTCAATTTTATAAAGTCAGGAATAAGTTATAATATATGTCAAGGTATAAAAATATTGTAGAATATAGTATCTGTCAAGGTATAGTTAAGAATATTGTATAAAAAAGCATACATAACTATCAATTTGTTATTATTATTATTTATAAAGGTACCAAATCATATATCATGTCAAATGAACATAATTAACTACCTATGTTATAGAAAATATTTGGGCATTCTCATTAATTTCAAATTTTACAATATAGATTTTATCAACTTCATAGTAACTGAAATATTAATTAATTAAAATGTCAGTTTTTAAAATGTATCTCAAGTGTACTTGCCAAGATATACGAAAAAGAATGATTAAGTCAAATTCTTAGATTGTAGTGTGACTAGAACATTAATGAGTCAATAAACAATATCACCTGTAATATAACAATAAATTCGGCCCATCATACTTGTACTTTATATTAATATTATATTTTTATTGTCATTTTAGTAATCTATATTGATAAGCCTGACTAGAACAACATAATTATATAAAAACGATACATAGATATTAAATTTTAAAGTGGTTAAATATTCCCATATACATACACATACATTGAGATATTAATATATGAATTTTTCTTAAAATATATTGTGCAATGAGGTAATAGAGTATATCTGAATGAGAAAATTCCCAATTCTTACTGTTTTATTTACGTATTTAGTCTTTTAAAATAGTTTTTTTTATAAACAAGTTGTTGGAAAAAAAGTGCTTAGGAACAAGACACTACCTCTGTAGTAGATAGACTGTGTCATATACATTGTGACCGAAAAGTTTCCGGAAAATTTTAAATAAAACGCAAAATTCTTAATCTTCATCAATATTTATTTTATCTCCTTCAAAATATGCTCCATTAGAAGCGATACACAAATGCCAACGTTTCTTCCAATCATCAAAAAATTTTTTATAGGCGCTTTCCGGTATGGCTTTGAGTTCCCTCTGCGAATTCTGTTTTACGTCTTCTATGGATTCAAAACGCGTTCCTCTGAGTGGTAATTTGAGGTTGGGAAACAGGAAAAAGTCACACGGTGCAAGATCAGGTGAATACGGTGGCTGTTCGATGGTATTTATTGAATGTTTGGCCTTAAAATCGTTGATAATGTTGAACAAATTGAGGTGAATCGGAACAAGCCGGGCGTTGACACGTCGCATACACAAATTGTCCACCAAAATCAAACGAGCCATCTCACGACCGATGCCTAGCTCTCGTGCTATCTCTCTAACACTCACATGAGGATTTTTGAACACGATTTCCTTTGCCTTTTCAATGTTTTCGTCGGTGGTAGAGGTCGAAGGTCGTCCAGAACGCGGCATGTCTTCGACGGTCGTACGACAGTCCTGAAAGGCTTTGTACCACTCATAAACTTGAGTTTTCGATAAAACTGATTCCCCATAAGCCTTTTGTAGCATTCGCAACGATTCTGCACACGAAATTTCGTTCGAAAAACAAAATTTGATGCAAACTCTTTGTTCAATATTTTTTTCCATTGTTTTTTTCGCAACGCACTACTGAGGTGAACTGGTTTCAACAGCTGCCGTAAACGAACTGTCTGACAGATCGCGCTCATTTTTGGCATAGTAATTTAAGGACAGTGCTGCCAAACTACATAAACTTAAAATATCGAAAAATATACAGCGCGCGAATTTTAAATGAGAATTTCCGAAAGCTTTTCGGTCACAATGTATGTTGTAAATGCCCAATTTGCGAAAAACGAAAACGTTTCCGAAATACAGCACTCCTTACAATCACAAAAAACATTATTATCCTTTACGATATATACCACAAATCTACATAAAATTTAACTCAATATACTATTGGAGAGAATCAAAAAGTCTATGTGTGGCTTATAACCAGCTAGATTAAACTAACTAGTTGAACGCAGTAATAATGTTCGCATATTATATCATGAGGATTTTGGAGGAAGAGCGCAAAACAAAATTATAATCACATAATTAGGAAGAGCATTTCTACTGAGTCGCAGTAACACAGTAGCAACCCTAAGAAGTAAAAATATACGAGAAACAATATGTAGTCTATATGGAATAAATGACGACAAAAAACTAACGTTTCGTTAGACATCAGTGTGATTTTAGTGAATTAAACTCTCACACTAACTTAGGCTTTCGATTACCTCACACTTTATTTAGTTAAGTTAACCTATCTTACACTTTGAACTATATTTAATATTAATAGCAATTTTAAAATAAAATATTAATGCCTCAATTATTAGGATATTGTTTATATATTATTTTTTTGTTATTTTATTATTTTTCATTATTTTACACATATGAATAATGGTACTAATTAGTTTTAATTAATTTTGTAACTTATTTTCAACACAAAATCAAATTCAATTTGAACTAGCTAATACTTGTCATGAGTCATTATAAATGGCAACATTCTAAATAAATTAATTTAATTAAGACGGTTTCTTAATATATAATTTCGATGTTAAAAATTCGTTATTATTAAAATCATGGTCTCATTACGCATGAAACCTTTCAGCTACTGCGTTTTTCGCACCTCATTTATTTTATTTATATTTGGCTAAAACCAATCACGAGGTCTGAAAAATCCATATTCTAAATCAAATTGATATGTTTTTAATCAAATAAGCTTGCATATATTAATAAATTTAATTTATTAAACTATTTTTTTTTTGCGGATCAAATTACTGATCAACAAAAAAAAACTGTCAAAAATAAAAATTAGAGAAAAATTTAAATATGTACAAAAAAATTGATAAAGACTGATAATTTAATTAAATTATGGAATGGAATAAGTTTTAGTATTTGTTTTAAAAAAAAAAAATATTCTCTGCCAATAAAACATGTTAATTAAAACAACAACGAAGTATAAAAAATAATAAACCAAATTAAATAAATGAAAACGAATCAAAATTGCTAAGTAAAAGGAAAACATTTGAAAAACTGGGTAAAATTCTAATAAATTTCTTAAAATCCGGCGAAAAAAAGTAAATGTAATCAAAAATTAATGCTAAAAATAAGAATAAAGAAAAGTGATTCAACTGAAATTTTGCTGTTGTTTCTAACTTAGGGCGCATTAAAGAAGATAAATTGGGTCGTCATTGAGCGGAAATGAAATTTCGGTAAAAAAATATACTAGCGGAAATACAAGTTTAATTTTTATGAAAAAAAAACTGTATTAAAAGGTAAATAGCAAAATGATTTAAAAAGAAAAAAGTAAACATTTAATATTTATAATATTAAATCTATTTAAATTAAAAGTATACAATAGATTCCTGGGGAACTTATCGAATTAAAGAGTGTAAGAAATGTGGGGAAAATATATATTTCCCTTTAGTAAGTATTTATATATACCATATATTTCACTAGATTATTAAATTTCGTGATTACTACTAAATTAGGAGACATATTAAAACAAAATATTAGAATAACCTAACATAGCATAAGTGGTCTACGTAAAGTCTCCCACAGACTTGTTTTAAATTTAACTTAATGTTATTTTAACATATTTTTGTGAATACAATCCTAAGATAAAACGAATATAATGAAAATAAATAAATAGACTTCTAAAAATTAAAATCACTAGAAAATCAAATCACTAAAAGAGGGATGCCCTAAAACAATAACGCTAGGGTAATGCAACATACATATTGGTGACCTATGGAGTTTATCGCAGACTCGTTCTAAAACCTAACTTAATATTCAATAATCAAATATATTTTTATAAATATAACACTTAATAAAAAGAATCTTATGAAAACTTATTTAGAAACCCTTATTTACTAGAAACCCAAATCACTAAAAGAGGGATGCCCTAAAACAATAACGCTAGGGTAATGCAACATACATATTGGTGACCTATGGAGTCTATCGCAGACTCGTTCTAAAACCTAACTTAATATTCAATAATCAAATATATTTTTATAAATATAACACTTAATAAAACGAATCTTATGAAAACTTATTTGAATACTTTAAAAATATTTTAAAAAATACCAAATACTTTTGTTAGTTGTTTTCAATTAGTTTAAAACAAATTAATTTGTATTAATATTTTAAATTTGTGTATTATAATTATATATGATTGATTTAACATTCCGTATATTTTACATTTTCTTTAGCACAAATGTTAGCAACTAAATAGAGCATTTAATAATTAATTAATAAAGTAATGAATTAATCATTAACAATTACAACAAAAATTTGATTAATTAACATAGAAAAACAAACGAATATTAAATAATATTAAATTTAAATTAAAAAAAAATCAAGTTATGTATAAAATAAAAGTAAATAATCATCACCTGGTTTTTAGATTATCTGGCACAAATATATTCCACCAAGAACCGCGTTTTTGACGTGGATAATATGCTACGTGATCAGAATCAATATCATCGTTGGAAAGATCACCATTTGAGCCACCGCCAGCTGCACTATCATTGGTCAAGTCATTTTGAGAACCCGTTTGTAAGCTGTTGTCAACACTTAATTGACTGACTTCGAAATTTTTACGGCGACGCCGATCAAGTTTTGTTTGCAATGAACTGCGACGACGTCGGTTGCGTTCTTTATCAATTGGTGGCGTTGTATCATAAGGTGCCATTCCTTTTACAACAGGACGCATACCAGTTCCATCATCAAAAAATGTAACTTTACCCGGTTCATTAGGAGATGACGCGCGTATATTTTCTTCAGAGCTATAAACTGTAGCATCTGGACTATTTGGTAAAGCGGAACCATCACTTTTTTCTTGTTTTACAGCAGACTCATATGAGTCTTTTGAAGAGTTCTGTAAAAAATGAAAAAAATTATTAATATTTCTTTTTCATATTATTTTATTGTTTTAGTTATTGTTTTTTAATTAAACATCGTTTATTGCCTATTTCATTTCACTTTTTTTTGTTTTAACTTTATTTTTTGATTATATTTTATTGTTACACTACTTTTTTACTATTATAAATATCCCTCAACTGATAATTATTACCAATAACCAATTATTTAGTTATTGTCACATATGATATATTTTAATATTTTTATTTATGTTCTGTTTATTATAAACCATTTTTATTCTCTTAGAATTTATTTTTCTTTAATAATTTCAACATTTTTCATTTGTTATATATTAACTATTCTTTATTTTTTAGTACCCTTATTTACAGTACCCTTTTTTAGAATATTTTTTATGATCTATACATTAGATTTTTTTTTTTTTTTGAGTTTGTTATAACTATTTTTTATTTTTAAAATAATCTTCTTATAATATTTTTCCTTTTATATTTTTATTATGTGTTTATAGTTTTTCTCTATTTAATACTCATATTTTTTATTTTTAAAATAATTTTTAATAATTTATTTTATCAATGCTTACCTTATTGCTGTCGCGCCTTAGAAATGACACCGCTATGGAACTCCGTCTCTTCTGACTTTTGTCGGTTTTTGATGAAAATAAACCCAACGCCAATGAACTTCGTCGTGGTGGCTTTTGTGGTGGTAACGGTGATGTTATATTTAAGTTATTTTCTATTTCATCATCGGCATGTTCATCAATGTCGACCAATGATGGTATGCTGGCGCTGGCCCAATCTTTGCGTAAACGATACTTTCCACTATCAATGATACTCATTTTGGTGGGGACTTTTACGTTTTGGTAAAGGAAAAAGTGAAAACGTCTTTTTCGTTGTGTGCAATATTTTTATGTATCTATTTTTTATTATAAAAAATAAAATATCATTAAATTATTATTATACATATGAAGTTTATAATTTGTACTATTTTGAAAGAAATTCGAAAGTTGTATAAAAAATTTAATATCTGTGTAATATTTTATCCTAAAGTGCTTTGTTGCAAAATATTGTTACTAACTAATTTTTAATTAAAATGTTTTTATAATTTTTAATTAAAATATTTTCAATTAAATTTTATTTTTAATTATTTATTTTATAATTTAAAAATATTCTTAGAAATGCACATTTTTTTGAAATTAATTTATATACTTTTTATAAATGCGATTATATTATCAGTAGAATTTTTAAAAATATATTAATAATATATATATTAAAATGTGTTAAGCTTAATATGAATGAAAGATGCTTTGTAGACATATGTACGTTAATTAACATTTCGGTGAAAGAAGTAAAATTTTTAATAATGTTCTTTCACTGTTACACATAAATCATATACCAACCAAAGAATGACTGACTGACAGCTTTTACTGGTATACTATTTTTTGAACGCTCAGTCATCTTCATAGTGGCGAACTTGCTTCATTTTGCGGTATGATCTATTTAACACCCCAATATCAGTTCTAAACAACCCCAGCATTAAGCACATCTACATTAATAGATGAAGTTTTTGCAAGTTAATAATCGTTTAACGTGTGTTTCGTTTGTCGATCACTCAGAACTTTAGCGTTATACTAAAATACTTATACTAAAATTTCATTTCTTTTTAGACATTTTTTCTGAACCATCATTGTAACGTCATATATGTTTTTGTTATTTTTATTGAATTATAAATTTTTATATAAGAAATTGAAACCAAAATGATAATAATAAAGAGCTACTACTATGTTATAACTACTAATGCTACTATACTATATGTACAATGTAATAGTGCTGACATCTTAAGCCTTCAGTGCCTTTAGTGATACCTTAATTAATATTTAAATATATGAATTAATTTATTTAGCAAGTATAATATACATGTGTTATTTATCTATCAATCTACAGTTCTATTCATCATTTTGTGTAATATGCATTTCATTTTAATCTGAAAGATGATAAAATTAATTATCAATTATTAAACAAGTTTTGCGGTTTCTCATAAGTAAAGAATGTGTTAATTGCAACTAGTAAGATTACAATCTCCTTCATTAGAAAAGTATTTAAAGACTGTTTGATTTCAAATAATTGCTTAATTAAATATACATGGTTTATACATTGTGAAAGTAAATAAGTAATAGCATTCATACTAAATTTATTAGTCATAAAAGTTCAAGCACTCACTATTTATATATTTTGATATTTATCATATCGTGACATTTTTTAAAATACTTTTTAATCTCATAATGCAATCAATCACTTTTACTATTACTACAAGCTCGTTAATATGTACCATTAATACCTATTGCATATCTAATTTACATGAATATTTTACGAAATTAGCTATAATTAAACTGAATAGCACATTGAATAGAGGCGAAGTGTAAATTACAGTACAAATAGAATTTTCCCAACCTAATTGTTACAAAATTTTGCAAATCACTTTTACTTTCGATTTTCATTAATGAAGTTGCCTGTAAATGAACTTCATTGAACTTTCGCTAATTATCATGCTAATTTAAATTAACATTTTTTGTTACGTTTTCTAATAGATACTCGTACATGATTGCAAGCTAATTACTTATTTACAAAGCTTAATAATGTAATTACGACATTACTTAATGAAAAAAAATTTCTATTGTTTTAATTGTCTCACATAAGTTAATTAATGGAAATTGTTGCTGTAGGATTACTGATAAAACATTAACCCCAACAAACTGCTAACTGTTAGCACAAACATCGCACTTAAAGTTAGCAGGTTTGTATCTTTATTATAATACTTGTATTTATTATTTATAGGTAAGGTATGGTACATTTTATGGGTGTACACTTGTTGATCGCCTGTCGTTAACAAGTACCTATGAACGTTTATCTTGACGTTTGAGCCCGTATCTTGACATGTGAAATCTTATTTAAGTACAAAATGAAAAACAATATTTTTTTATTTAGAACCGCATTTCTGTTGTAAATTTATTGATCTTATCGGTGATCATAGATCGTTGTTAATATAAGTATTGGTATTGCCTATTTTGCCATATCGCTGTACTAAAATCGAAAGTGGTAAATTTAAAAAACCCCTAGCAGAATGAGTGTATTCGCTTGAAAAATAGTTTCTCTAATTACTTTTATACATAAACTAAATACTGAATATTTGGATTTGTGCTAAAAAAAAGCACTTTATTTCGTTGTATTTTTAAATAATGTAAAATGAACTGGTCATAATGTATGTTAAATTATATAGAATTCATGTTTCAAGTTTGTGTTATAATAAACAAAATGAAAACAAAAGTCATACATTTAGTTTTTTTTATAAAAACAATAATGTGTTTATGTTCTATTGTTTTTAACAGTTTCAACACAAATTTTGTGCAATTATGTTCGGAAACAGTTCAAACAAGTGTTATGTTGTTTTACTAAGTGTAATTAACAATTTGAATGCATGAGAAAATTAAATGAAACAAATATGTTTACTTTGTTACTTCTCATCATTTTAAGTATGTTGAAGTATCATTTAATCACTATTTAAAACAATAGCTAAAGATTGCTACAAAACTTTATTACTAAGAATTAAAGGAAATACTTTAAATATAACAAAAAACTATTTATACAAGAATAATAAGAGATTAGTAAAAAATAGTTCAGGTTTAATGTAAGAACTGGTTGGCATCAAAATCTTAAGAAGAGACCACCGTGTTTTTAGTGATTAAAATTTTTGAAAAGATATAAATTCAAAATAAGTCAAATTACTTATTTTTAGTTAATAAATATATTACAAGTTATGATATTCAATTTTATTTAAATCATATACTTTAATTTAATTCATTTCAATTCTAAGAAATCTCGCTTGTTCCTTCCAATAACAAAAGGTTGTATTAATGGTTCTCCAGAACTATTAAGAGCATGTGATTGTTGTGCGTTTGTAAAATATTTATAACCGTTAACTGTTTTCATGATTCTTTTAAATAGATATGTAAAAGGCTCATCTTACTAAATTATATATTGTACTGACTATAAATAAATATATAATAATAAAGGTTAATTAAAATGACATATCTGATAACATAAAATCAAACACGATGACGATCAAATTAGTCGAAATATCGGAAACTCATATTAGTAAAATACATTATATATAAAAGCATACAACAAATAATGCTTCAACAAACAGAATATTATTAAAATTTAACAATTAAAAATAAAATATATTAAATTAAGTCAATTATTATACAGCTGGTTTATGATTTCGTTCTAATATAAATGCAGCAAGTGAATTATAAGAATTATTTCCAAGACCACTGATGATGGATATTGGGCAATACTCGAAACAGCTGCGTGGTAAGCCAAAAATGTAATTAATTAATAAATAATAAAATTTTAATGTTGTAATTCACTACTGTTCAAAATAACTCTCTATTAAAAAAATAGTTTCTATTAAGATAAATGGTTTCTTTCGTCATAATTGACTTAAGAAATCAAAGACAATATAAACACCATATGCTAACAGTGTTAATATATGTATTTATTATAATACATTTAGGTGCTTCACATAGGCCAATGGATCTTTGAGATAATTAATACAAGATTATAAGTAGTATTATATAATTTCAGAATTTAATAGGATTGTTTAATTCTTGAAAAATATTTAACTAAATAACATTTTTAAAATATTTTAGTTTTAATTAAGAATTAATGATTAATTTTTATTTTTTATTTTTTAGTACTAAAAGAATAAGAATTTAAGAACATTATTAAATTAGAGGAACTTATTGTGTATTAATCACTGATTATTAATTATAAAAATAATTAAAACAAAAAAGAAAAATTAGTAGAAATATTTGTTAAACTTGTTTTTAGAAAAAGGTCGAGTTCATTCACTTTATTAAGAATATTTTTAATTTTTAATAACAACGAAACTTACATAATTTTTGTATTTTGTTTTTTTTTTTACTTAATGGAAAATTTAAATTATTAAATATCCACAAACCCATTGACCATCAATTTTAAACTCGAGCAATGTAAAAAGTATAATGGAATGGAATTGTATTTCATGGTCGTTGTGTCAGTTGTGCTCTCCCAACAACCTTCAGCATGCCCTGCAGCAACTTGAGTTGAGCAAAGGTCGTTAAGCAAACACAATATTAAAAATTGCGTTACGATGGAAAACTACAAAATGCTTGAGATTGCAGTGCAATGGCAATAAAAGCTGTGCACGTGATAAGGACCCAAACAAGCACATCACAGTTCACATTACTGATACAAAAGAATAATAACAAGAAATTCAGATACTTTCAGTGCAATACTCGTACTCGTATGTGCTGCAACTGCATTGCTGGAAAGACGAGGCAGGCAATGTTTGGCAGTGTATATTGTACGTTACAAGTACGTAAAATTTTATTGAAACGCACTGCTAGACTATTTGGAGTGTACGAATTATGACAGCAATAAAAAATTTTATAAAAGTTACTTTTTTATTATTTTTTCTGTGTTCTTTTAATATTAATTGTTCTTTTACTTTTAATGATTAAATTGTAATTAAAATCTGTACTTCTACTGCATGGATGCACTATGATTTGGCTGATGCAATATCATGCCGTAAGATAGTAAGACACGCATGTGATGCATCTGATACTGTATCTGATGTATGGCCAAGAATGCTACTGCAGCCTTAACAAATGTTGAACTCATAGTTTTTCTTTGCTTTTCGTGGTGCAAACAATACGGAATTGAAATGATTGAAAAATTTTTGTTTTGATATTGATAAACTTATGACATGAAAAAATTTTCCATAATTTGTTTTGTTGTATGCACATTTTACATATATAATTGTTAAATATTATTATTTATTCTTTAAGTAAATTAAAAATATCGAAGAGTTATATT